TTAATAGAAAATCCAAAAGAAAATGCTAATTTTCAGCATAGTGAACAATCAGAAAGGAATGCTGTTACTGAACTTCTATCTTCAGGTGCCAAGAAGAGAATCAAAGTGTAAATGCCAAAAATGGTCTCTGAAAAACTGTTGAAATATAAAGGGTAATATTAAATATACAGGTAAAGGTAGTATTAAAAAAACAGACAACATACCCAAGATGGATAAATGCCTCAAACAGATGAGCATGTGAACAGTTATGTTTTTTTTTCTGCATGCAGCTGTAGCAAACCTGTGCCTGTGTAGCCACGACATGTAGTAACACCCTGTGCTAAGACTACTTCTTTATGCTTATTCCTTTTTTCCAGCTGTTATCCTCTATATTTCAGGCAATACTTTCTAGCAGTTAGGAAGGGGTTTGTCAAATTTTAAGCAGGCATTGCCACAGGGAAGAATGCAGGGCTGTGATATTGATAATTCAATAATAAATCTTCATGTTCTGTTCTCAAAAAATAATTACAGTACTCTGAACTATGAATGTATAAAGACAGTTTAGAACAAACAAAACTATAAACTAGACAGCCTATTAAAAAATACTTAAACTTCTCTTCATCCAGGATCAAAAACTTAGCCTCTCCACCAGTTTCTTCAAACTTTAAAACCAGGGAAATAAAACCTGTATCCTGCATCTGGTAAGAAAGTTACATAGCAACTGACCTGCCAGCTATGTTGACAATAACTTCATAGTAAATGCTAACACTTGAAGTTTCTTTTCCATACTTGTTTGATTAAGAGTTTCCTTTATTTTAGTGGAGATTGGGAAACTCTACATCAAAAGAAATTGTACTGTTACTGCTGATTTTAGGTGGACTACCTGTAATTTTAATTAATTGTGTGATGATAAGCAGTTGTATCATTTTATAAGAGTAGAATATGCAATTTCATGTGGTAACCTTATAGACACTATTTCAGATGCAGCAATTTCAAGTTCACATTCCTGAAAACCAAAAATATCTCCTTTTATTCAGTGCTTTACAGTTTCCCAGCTTAACCTCTTCTGTTAAGCACATGGACTTCCTCAAGGTAATAAAGAATATAATACGGCTATACTGACATGTTAAGAATATACCTAATTCTTAAGCAAACTGCCTACAGTGGTGCCTTTAGACTCCACCTTTACACAGACTTCTTTGTGCTGTTAAAAGCCAAGCATTCAGGGCTCTGCACAAATACGTGCTGGTCCACACCACTGGGCGTGTCAAAAAACTAAGACTAGATTTAAACAATTTAGTTTTGAAGCTTTTTCCTCAGGATCACAGGAAGATCCAGGCTAGAAGGAAGCTGAGGATGTCTTTAATTCAACCTCCTGCTTAAAGCAGAGTAGGCTCTGAGCTCAGACTAGCTTTTCAAGGCTTGATCCACCTGGGTCTTGAGAGCTCCCAAGGATAGAATCTGCATAGTCTCTCTTGCTAACCCACTTCCCAGCTGTGCTTGTGGAGACTGTGTTTTCCTTCTACCCCACAGGAACTGTTTTGTCTCAGCTAATGCCATTATCTCTGCCCTCCTGCCACACAGCCCTGCTGAGCCTAGTCCCATCTCCATCATCTAGATGGTCATCCTCTAGATGGTGGAAGGCTGCTGCTGCACCACTCCAGACTGAGCACACACTGTTCTTTCAAATTCTGAGTGCTAAAGGTTTAAAAACCTCCATTTCCAGTAAGAGTAATGCAAACTCAAACATTTATTATGGATGTCATGATTCAACACAACAGTCTGAATGACATTAAACAAGTGGACATGATGTCTCTAAATCCTAGTAGAAATTACTGCAATCAGAACCTTCTGGAATTAAACCGGATTTGTATACCAGGAAAACACTTTTCTGTGCTTACTAGAAATGTTTTTATCAGTATGGTGTGGGATATGCTCTAACAGGCACACTGAATTAGCAGTAGCTGTGTACCTGCTGAGAAGTTATATGCTGCCCTTCACTAATGCTTCAGGTATATTCTAAAATAAAACACTGCAGACCTCAAGGGAAGAAGTAAATGAGTAACTCAGCTGGAATGGAATTATGACATTAGTTTGCAAAACTAGTAATAAACTATGGGCCAAGATGCACAAAAAACCCCAGATGGATAAAACTTACTGATAATTTTTAAAGGCAGTTTCAACCATTCTTATGCTAAGTTTTGGGTCTTCTGATGTACACAGCAAAGGGTGCTTTACATAAGTGCAACACTGGATTTTCCTCTGCCACAGCATATGGTAATACTTCCTAAATCGCCTTTCTGCAACAGGTGCTCTGTTTTATGATGCAATTTTACCTGGACCTTTAATGTGTAAAGCCATAAAATAATGAGGCTGTTTCCAAGGTAAACGGGGCCACCCATTGCCTTCATCCTGTGTTAGAATGGGAGGCATCAAGGTGCACACACAGAAGTGACCACAAACACGACAGGTTAGGGTCACATACTGCTTGGATTTATGCTCAGCCACCACCTAAAGCCAGGCTTTAAGATGCAGTTTGGGCATTTCATCTCTCCACTGCATGTGGGTAGCCACAATTTATTATCAGAAGCCACAATCAGTGCAGAGTGCCCGGAGCTCAGAGCTTCCCCAGCAGCACCAAGCACGTGGTGTGTCACTGCGGGGATGGGAACGTGCCAGTCCCCACATCTGTGCCCTAAGAAGGCTGATTGTGCAAATTTACAGGGAGAATTCACAGCTTGGCTCCTTCCTTCTGACACTGAAGGTCCTGCCCTCAAACCCACTGGAAGTTTTCAGCATTATAATGAATAAATGAATGATCATAGATTAATGAATCTATGATTATTTATTTAAGAAAATGGCCTAACACAGTTTCATTGCTTCCCTATCTGTTCCAATTCTTTACCAAACCCACGTCTCCTAATTTGTTTTAAAATGCCTGAATAAATGCAGAGCACCTGAGTGTTTACACAGTTAATTAACTGATTTACCTCCCTTCCTAACATTATCCTCCCAGGGATAAATTAATGACTAATGAAACCCACCTGAATTATTTTCAGGTATCTAATTAAACAAAGGATACAGCCTGTGGACTATTTTAACAAGATATCTGTTGTTATCTCACGACTTTGCAATCTTCTCCTTTACCTATGGCTCTGCAGCATATTTCAGTGCTCAATTTCCATGGGGAAAAACCAGCATCGCCACTGGATCACACACAAGTGCCAGGCCTGTCACTAACAATCAGTGCATTAGGTGGACAAGGCAGAGACTGCAGAAACTGGAGGCGTAATTCATTTCTTATACATTACTTTAAACAGGACAGAAAGGGAGGGTTGTGGATGAGCTGGAAATAATTCAAGGAAAAATGGAGGGTTGTGACTAAACACAGAAAATCATGAAGGGAGAGATGAAGGGACAAGGAGGTGGAATAATGCTGTTGATTGGGTTGTTTATACATGTGTCAGGTTTTACGTCAGTATGGTGATAATCAAATTGTGATTTTCTGTTCCTTTGAGAAATGGTCTACAAACACACAGTGACAGCCAGAACCCTGGAGAGCTGACAGTCTGAACAGATGAGGCAAATAAAGGGTAAAGGGCTCAGACAGCGCTGACTGCCTCAAGGCTACATCACTTCCAAGTGGCCAGAGAGTCCTTTTACTGCTATTGCTAGAGCAGGGACCAGGAAAGGGACCAGGAAAGGGACCAGGAAAGGGACCAGGAAAGGGACCAGGTGAAGGTTGGGTTTGTGCAGGTGAGAAGAGCCCAATGAGAGGTCAGTGCTGCTTCGAGCAGACAGGTTGGTAGGTCTGTGGTTTCTCTGTTAGGGGTTTTTTTTTAAGGCTGTATCAGAGCATTCCTGTCAGGAGGACACTCTGGAAAGCAGAGCCCTGAGCTGTTTCCTGCACACAACAGAAGTGATATAAAACACGGGTCTGCCCCTTCCTTGAGATGCTCCATTCTGTCTCTGAGCATTGCCGTGGGGGAGCTCCTGGCTATTTTCCCCGAGTAGTTTCAGGCCAGTTTCCTGCCATGGTGGTCTGCCTTTCTCCAGTAGGGAGGACAAACAGGGCTGGGACAGCATGCCAAGGCTGCTCCATCCTATCCCTGTCACCGCTGCAGCGCTGCTGGATGTGAGGAACACCGGCCACCAGCAGCACAGAGGAGCTGGGGAGACACCTACCAGCCACTGCTGTGCCTCTACCCCACCTGCTAACGCGACCCAAGGACAGCAAACACCTCTGCCGTGGGTTTCCTCAGCTGTTAAATCTGGCACGGACTGCAGCTCGCAGCCAGCCCTGCCCCAAACCCCGGGTATTGCTGGGTGGAACGCGGCTGGGATGCTCCCTGGTCCAGCTGATAACTCCCTGCCCTTTGCCTTGACCGGCAAGACTTGTGTTTAATCCCCAGATCAGGTCACTAAGCCCAAGAACATAAACATGGCATTTATAAAAGGACAGTGCCCACAGATGCTCGTCTGCCACGTTAGTGCTTGTTACCGAAAACTCCTCTTCCATGAGTCAAAGTTTTCTCTGAAATTACTCAGAACCTCCCAGCACGTGTTACTGGATTTTACCCATAGTCTATTTTAGTACAAGGGCAGACATAAGAGCTTTAACCAACTCGCAGGCAAAAAAAGGCTTGATGTCTGCCAGGAGACCGTAACCTTTGCAGTCTGTTGGTTTGTTGGTTTTTTGTCAGTTTTGTTTGAGGTTTTTTACTCACTGAGAGTCCCATGAACAAGAAAATCGCCCCGAAGGAAATCAGACACCTTCCCTTCCCCTTCTCCATCCTCCCTCATTATTTCTTCTCCACACATGCTGTCTGCAGTGAAAGAGGTAAAACCGCACACAATCTGAATCCCAAACAACAAATCCGCCGGGGACAGAAATCCCCTCCGCAAAGCACGAACAAACCGGGGGCACTGCAAATACAAATGGGCGAGCTACCGAGGCGAAGCCGCTGTGCCGCCGCAAGGATGGACGGGCGGGACTGGGGCAGCAGAGCCGCTCTCCTTACCTTGATCATGCTGGCGGGAGACGTTCCTGCGGGGCTGCGGCCGGGATGGAGCGGGATCGCCGAGCCCCGGGGGCCGAGGGAGCGGCGCTGCGCGGGACCGGGGCCGGCCGGGGCTGCTGCCGCTGCTGCTCGGATCGCTGCTGCTGCTGCCGGTGCCGCTGCTCGGGGCTGCTGCTGCTGCTGCTGCCGGGCTCTCGGATTGCATCAGCGGGCGAGGGCGGCGCGCTCGGCGGGCGCTCGGGGGGCAGCCGGGGCCGCCCCGCCCCGCCGCTCCCCGGCACCCTCACCGCCCCCGGCATCCTCATCTTCCCCGGTATGCTCACCCCCCCGACACCCTCACCGAGCCCCGGCACCCTCACATTCCCCGGTATCCTCACCTTCCCGACACCCACACGGCCCCCCGGGCCCCGGGCAGCGCCCCCGCCCTAAAATGGCCCCGCGCGGTGCGCGGCGGGGCCAGCGCGGGGCTGGTGCCGCAATTCACACCGAGCCGCGCTCTCCTCAGCCGGCACCGAGCGGCTCAGGGTGCTCCGAGTCATTTCCTCCGTCTGGCCGTGTCCCACACGCCGACACACCAGCACCATCAGCAGCACAGGGGCACAGCAACCACTGTATATGGGATTAGTGGGGCTGCCAATGTGTTTCCCTGCTCACCTACAGCCACCCAGCATGGGCACAGCACCCATTGTACCTGGGATTAGTGGCGTTTCACAGATGTTTTTCCCTGCTCACCCAGCACAGGGGCACAGCACCCACTGTATCTGGGGTTACAGGGGCTGCCAGATGTGTTCTTTCCTTGCCCACCCGTGCTGAAGGTCTGGATGTACCTGCAGAGCTCCGAGCCACCTCCACGTTCTGGTCCCTGGCAGGCAGCTGGCCAGCAGCCGGAGACAATAAATACAGCAGCCTGTCCACTGGGTTGCTTCTATGCGTTCCTGTGAAACTAATACAAAAAAACAGGAAAAAAACCCACAAATTTTTCAGAGAAAATGCTGCTGTAATGTTCACAAAGTGCTTACTTTCATCATAACTGATGAAACATAAACAACAAACATTTACGTTTAAGTCTTTTCTTCCTTTACTAATGTATTTGTAATGGTTTTCCCCTTCTGATCTCCTTCAGAGTTGTAGGAAGCTGTTTCATCTCCGTGTGACTGTCAGAAGTGCCAGGTTCTGCTTTGCACTATGCACATGAATTATTCTCTGTTGTACAGTGCCAGAGATTGGTTACAGGAGTAGGTTTTTGCTGCTGCTGCTCTTCAGCCAGGTAAAAAAGTGCTGTTTAGTGGATTTACAAGCATTTTGGATGCCAAAAGAACACAGGTGAGCAGCACTACCCAAAACACAAGATCACATGAACAGTGATATTTCAGCAGCTATTTAGGAGAGGAGAAAGATGGAGCAAAAAATTGATGAGAGCAATTCAATCCATTCACAAGGAGATATCTTCAGGTTACAACCACACATAAAAGCCATAGGAACATAAATAAACACCACAGAACAGCCAGGCTGGGTCAGGCCACTTAACTCAGTATCCTGTCTCTGTAATAATGCCTGCAGAGGAGTTTCAAGGAGAGAATAAGCACACAGAGGCACTTTGCTCCAGGTACTCTTTCCACTAAACACTCTTATCCTCAAAGGATTTGTGCCACATCAACTTCCTGAAAGATGAATTCTCTAGGCTTAACAGCTCCTCATGGCTTTTTGCTCTCTTAATTTCTTGCTACATAAAATTTGATATCTTTCAGATCTTGTGCTCATCAGTTCCACAGTTTAGCTCTGTTCTGTGTGAAACCTCATAATTTTGCTTTGTTTTGAATTTGCTACTTGAGAACGTCACATCATTCTCCATTTTTCTGATACTGAGAGACTGTAAACAAAAATGAAGAGCACTTTACCCCCTGCATGTAACTTGTGATTTTACAGGCAATTGTCAATCCTCTGTCAGCCATCTCCTTTCTCCAGCTGAGGAGCTCTAATCTTTTTTATTTACTATAAAACAGTTCAATAACCTTGATCATCCTTGATTTAGGATGGGGATGTGAGCTACAAAACACTCTTCATCATATTTACTTCTAATTTCCCTTTTTCTTCCTCCTCTATTTTCATTATAGTTCTGTTTCCTGTTTGGGCTGATCGTGAGCACTAAAGATGAACCAATCTATTTCTGAATCTGAACTATTTAATTCTAAGATTTCTCTGCTGCAACACTTCATTAATAACCCACCCATTTACATAAATTTAGCTTTTTTTGGTTATGTGCATAATTTTATGCTCACACACATTGTTTTTACAACTGTACATTCAGTTATACAACATTATATTCAGTTTCATAAGGTCCTGCTGCAGATAGCCCTGGTTTGGCTGAATTGTTTTAACACCCTTTCCCTGAAGGCTTTCAATCTCATCCCTAAATTTGTCTTTTCTCTGTTTGCCTCAATTTCCCCTTCTCTCAAGGACAGACTCTCTCATCTGTTTCTCATCTCTTACCAGTTAAAGAGAGCAACCATAAAAGCACCTTTCTTTTCTATGAGCCTTTGCTAAGGCACTTTGTCAAATGCTTTGGAAATCCAGTTGGATTATATCCCTTGGACCTTTCCTTCCTCTGAAGGAGTTTACAGATAGGTCAGGATTTCCTTCCAGAAAAGTCATGCTGAGTCTGACTCTCACTGGCATATTTACCCATATATCTTTGTGCATTTCTTGTTACAGCTTGTGCATTTTCTCACTTCAGTAGCCTGAATCCCTTAAAAAAAAAAGGCAAAAAAATGAAAAAAAAAAAAAAAGCTGTTTGATTGCAATTTGACTGTTTCCAGAGCTCGGTTTACCAGTCTGAACAATCAGCCTTTTACCAAAGTTCTCTGCAACATGCTCACCACAGAGATGCATTTAAAATTATCCTTAAACTGCTGCCAACTACTGAGGTACAGAGCAGAATCTGTGGCCTGGGCAAAACTAAGAAACAGGAGAAGCAAAGGGAAAGAAGAAATATTATCTGAACTACAGAGCACTCGTGCAAAGCCAGATCACCACTTATTGCATATCTAGGATATGTTAAAAAATAAAAAAAAAAAAGAGATCTTTGTATTGATCTTTTGCTTTCATTCAGGGCCACGCTGACCCTGAGCTTGCAAGTAAAAGTCAGAAAAAAAAAAAAAAATCAGAGAAGCTGCAGAACTTACTTGAAAAGCTGCAACTTCCTGCAATGTCCCCAAACCTGAAGCTGCCATTGGTAAATGGGCCAAAAAGATGTATTTTTGCAGGAATAGCTTGCATTACCTCAGTCTAGCTACAGTTCTTTATGTAACACTCCAGAAGTTACAAGGCAAAGGACATGAGATCTTTATCTCTGGTGATTCACTCAGTTGTGTTGCTCCATCAGTAACAAATTACATTTTCTACACTCTGAGCATTTAATTTTCATAAAACATTATTCATTTCAATGCTAGTTTTTCCATTAACACCAAGAATTCTGTGAACGCTTGACAGCACTGTTAAACTTTAGAAGTTTTAATGAGTAAATTTTTCACACATATGAGAGAATAAGGTAATTTATATGCTCCAAGTCCAAAGTGTTTCCACAACTTGTACGGATTCACGAGGGGAGGAATTTGAGTCACACACATTTTCCAAACCAGACCTGAATAAATTCACCTTTAAGCCACTGAAATATAAGGAACTACTGTTGTGGAAATGAAAAGGCAGTATGATATAAAGCCAAATGGGAAGTGGTGAAAGAGGAAGCCTGTAGATCTATAATTCTGTAAGAATAAAGAGCACAAACCCTTCTTGATACACTGCAAACTTTCCTCTACAACCCTGGCTGCATCCTCTGAAGAGGATAGGGAGAAGGTGGGTAGAAACCTGGTTTTCCATGCAAGAGAAAGCTAGGATTCTGTGGTTTTCTTTGTAAAATATGTAAATAAAGAAGCATCAGCTTTCATCTAAAATATTCTCCAAATAAAACCTGTGACTGATTTCAGCCACAAAACTAAAACTCTTAAGAATGATTAAGAAGGTAATTGGAGTACAAGATCTCTATATAGCTGCCTTGCACATGTGGAAACATAGTTGTGGAAAGCTTTTAAAGTGAGGGAAGGACAAACCTTTGGTTAAGGAATCAGGTTGGTGCTGCAGGAATTTCCTAACAGAGAAGATAAATTATTATGCAATTATTGTATGTGTATATAAATTACTATGTAATTATACACATATACGTGTTCAGATATGTACAAAATGTTAGGGTGGGATGATTTTTAAAGTTGTTTTTATTTTGGGGAAGGAGAGGTCCTTTAAAGACTGGTCAGGTCCTTTAGAGACTGGTAATTCAGGACTACAGCAGTGACAGGAGAAGCTGATGGTTGCAATTACTGCTCTTCTGTCAGTTTCTCTGGGTCTGGATTGAAGGCACTTGGGACAGTAGCTCCTGTTCAGACTCAGGTGTTTATTATTTTTTGTCAGTAAAGCAATCTCATTACTGTGAGTTCGGCAGCTTTTCACTAGAAGGCACAAAATGGCCAACAATCTCTTATTACAAGGTCTTTTAAGACCAAACTATCCAACGAAGAAGTGACACCTGGATTATTTTCCCTTTTAACACAATAACTGATCCCTAAGAGCCTCAAAGAGGACTTTTCTGCCCAATTACAAAATGCCACCCAAACCCATGAAGAAGGAAGAAGCAGCATGAAGAAGAAACCCAGGACAGCACCCTGTGCCCTCCACCTTGCTTCCATCCACAACATACTAAAAATCCCAAAACCTAAATTTCTCACCAAGTGACACACCTACACTGCTGTCTATAATCTATTTCACACTTTGGTGGGTTTCAGTCTGTCTTGAAGTCCAGGAAACTTTCTCCATGAATGAGGGTCAAAGTCAGTGCTCCCCAGGGCAGACAGAGAAATATTCCCTGGGATTCCACACTCTTCTTGTATTTGTGGGGTTCCAGACAAAGGAAGGAATGATATAGCTGACTCCATGCTCTCAGAAGGCTAATTTATTATTTAATGATGTGTATAATATTAAAGAATACTATACTAAACTATGCTAAAGACTACAGAAAGGATACAGACAGAAGGTTAGAAAGACACTAATGACTCTCATGACTCTCTCCCCAGAGTCCGACACAGCTTGGCCGCAGTTGGCCAATAAGTCACAACAATTCACACGAAACAATCACCTGTTAAATAAACAATCTCTAACCACATTCTAAAGCAGCAAAACACAGCAGAAACAAATGAGATAATATTGTTTTCTTTTTTCTCTGAGGCTTCTCATCATCCCAAGAGAAGAATCCTGGGCAAGGGGATTTTTCCAGAAAATGTGACTGCCACAGTTTAATTTAACTCTTCCTTTGGAAAAGGAGGAGGAAGGACTGTTTGCACAAACAGAAAGATGAAAGCAGCGTGGTCTGGCTCCTCGTGGAAGGGCTGGGGTGGGATGCAGGGTGTAGGGGATGCTCTTTTCAGAGCAGCAGGGTCTTTTTGCGGCAGCACCTTTCCCGGTGCTCCTTTTTCCTCACTTCCACCGCCTGGGCCGCGCCAGCCCCGCAGCGTGCGGGCTCTGCTGCAAACCCATCAGCAGAGCGAGCCGGGGGTAAAATCCCGACAAAAAAGGCCGGGAGTAGGTAGGAAGCGATTGCCGGGGATGCTGAAGGGCAGAAAGCCTCGCACAAAGAGCACGGGCTGCACCATTAACCCCGCGGAAAGAAACACCACAGAGCGAGAGAGGGAGAGCAGAGGAAAGGGAAAGCGGCCACACAGCATCTGACAAGCGGGGAAATGCTGGGAAAAGGCTGAAAGGGAAAGGTCTGCATGTGTGACAGTAATTGGAACCAAACGCATCTCCCCCCGTTTCGTTCCCACCCTCTAAAAGCAGCATTTTACGCATTCCTCCCAAACAAGCACTTTGTGAATGTGTCACTTATTTCTGCCCGGAGAGGCAAGAAAAACACCGCGCTACGGGAATTAAAAATGTTTGTTCCAACATTTCCTCCAGCCCTTCGTTTTCCAGCTACTCACCTCACCTCCTCTGGGGCTTTTCCAGAAGGTTCTGGGCGGCTGCACCACGCTGGTAGAGCAGGACAGGCTTCCTTCAAGTGGTGTCCATCAGAGCACGGCCTTCAAAAGGCTTTTAAAGGGCTTTAGGTGCTCCAGGGCTGGCATGGAATAGGCACAGCACCTAACCCACCCCAGCTGGCCCTGTCTGAGCCTTCAGCACCTGGGTCGTGTCAGTCCCCACCCTCCACCAAAGTCAACGCCCTCGTTCCCCTTTTAAAGGGAGCACCAGGAGCCCTTGCTGGCCTATTTTTCCTGTCCAGTGTTGCTCCCAAAGTTGCTTCTTTGTTCCCCCCACTCCTTAGAAACTAGTGGGAAAGGGAAAGTGGGGAAACACTCCGTGTTTTGTGCAGTTCAGGGGGGAAGAAGCAAGTGGAGCATAAATCTCCACCCAAGTTCGTAGAATGACAGAACTTTTTAGGTAGGAAAAGACCTTTAAGATCATTGAATCCAACCATTACCCAACACTTCCCAAGCCCACCACTAAACCCTGTCCCTGAGAGCCATATCCACGCTTGTTTTAGATAGCTCCTGGAATGGTGACTCCAGCGCCTTCCTTGGTAGCCCATTCCAATCTAATCAATCTAAGTCTAATCAATCTTTCTCTGGAGAAATTCTGCCTAATGTTGAACCTGACCCTGCTCTGGTGGTGCTTGAGGCCATTTCCTCTTGTCCTATTGCTGGTTACCTGGGAGCAGAGCCCGACCCTCTGGTCTGGCTACACCTTCATGTTGGGTTGTTGTGATAAGGTCTCCCCTGAGCCTCCTTTTCTCCAGGCTTAACACCCCACATCCCTCAGCTGCCCCTCACAGGACTTGTACTCCAGCTCCTTCCCCAGCTTTGTTACCCTTTGGAGCACAGAGTTTGACACGTAATGATAAAAGCCACTCAGCTGGAGCATCTGGAAGATTCAATGCAGAACTGCTTGGTTTTGTTATAAAATCAGTATTTAAAGACTGACCTAATGGGTGTGTGGGTTTGGTGGTGTAAAGCATTTGGGTCCAAAAAAGCCTTTTATTTCAAAGCAGTAGAATTAAATGGTAGGAATCAATGTGAAATCTTGCTTTCTCTGATGTTACTGGAAGAGCTTTGGAGTGCCTGGAGGAAAGGAGGCAGTGAGGCAGCTGGGCTGTGCCCAGGTGGAAAGCCTGCTTTCCCAACTTCCCAAGTACAAGCTGGCTGCTCCAAACCCTGCCAGCCCAGAGAGGGGCTCATGTTCAGCCTTTCGGCTCCAACGAGGCAGCTGGGCTGTGCCCAGGTGGAAAGCCTGCTTTCCCAACTTCCCAAGTACAAGCTGGCTGCTCCAAACCCTGCCAGCCCTTTCGGCTCCAAAAGGGCTCTGTGAAAAGCTCAACATCCCCTTTGTGCTCTAAAGCTACACTGCGGTTCCCCAGCCTTAATTAAACTGAGCCTAAAAAAGCTTCAGAAAATGCACAAAAAAAAACCAGGCAGGAAACTTCAAGCTGTGTGAAAAGCTCAACATCCCCTTTGTGCTCTAAAGCTACACTGCGATTCCCCAGCCTAAATTAAACCAAGCCTAAAAAGGATTCAGAAGGAATGCACAAAAAACAAACAGGCAGGAAACTTCAAGCTATTTTCCAGGTCCCACTTACCAAGTACAGGACTCGGAGCTGTTAGTGTGCACTGGGGCTGACTGAAGAGAAGACAATAAAAGGTGTGTTTGTCCTTGAGCACGAGCCGTCCCCACCTGCCCTCGTGGTTTGGCTCCCTCCTGGTGCTCCCAGGGAGCTGGGGACCCCAAGTCCCCTCCTGCCATCCCTGACCCCAGGAATTTCCCTTCCTCCTGGTGCCCATGGGGAGACCCTGACTGCAGGACCAGCATGGCCTGTGGTGCTCAGCTCTGAATCCAGAACTTCTGTGAGCAGTAAGATACCCCAAAGTTATGTATTTCTATAGGAGATCCACCACATTCCCTGGAAAAGCTGTACTCGGTGGAAAATGGTGCTTGATAGAAAGCATGCAGCAGCACAGATGCTTTTTGGCAAGCACATTTCTGGGCATGCACCTCCTCAGCAAGTGAACTGTTAATTAAACTACCCCTAATGACTGGTAACCAACACATAAATGCATTCCTATAAATAGATATTGCTCCATATCCCAGGTTATCAGTCATAATACTTAGTCTGAGATAATGAATTCCACACTAAATTACCCACAGTAGCCATGTCCTTTTTCTGTAAATTGTTCTCTGTTTGAGGAGGATGCTTTAGCATATAATTGTGGTGAATTAGGCTTGGAGAGGGATTACAGCAGCTGCAGAATCTCTTTGTTGGGCTGAGCATGACATCCAGCTCTTCCAAGAGATGCTTTAATGTGCCAAGATCAATACTAGAGGGGCAGAACTTGGAACAGATGGGCCACGAGGGCCAAGTTCTGCTGGTAAATCAGTCTGGTAATGACATGCCAGTGATGTCACAGCTGGTACTGGCAGTCTGAAGGGCAGAACAGCCAGAGGAGCAGAGCTGGGAGCCCAAGGGCTAGCAGTGACCTCTGAAGAGCCAGCTGGGAGCCAGACAGGTTTAGGGATGTGGACTCTACTCTCCAGCCTGACTGATAATCAGTCATCCAGAAAGGCAGCAAGGAGATGAGGCTGTGCCTTGAAATCTGGTGAGTAAACAATTCAAAGTAATCCCATAAAACCTTCATTTTGACATCTGCCACAGGGACAAGATTCCTTTCTTTGCACTGCTTTTGACAGTCTCTAAACTGTATGTGGTACCACATGGTGAGCAGTAGCAAAGCCAAAATATTCCTGGTTAATGAATGGCAACTGAACGTAACTGGCCATGAGCTACATACAGATTAAAATTATACCTCTCCTAGTTTAACAGATGTAACCAGACATTGCTGTGGGGGCTTTTTCCTTTCAAATTATAAAGTGCCAGTTCTTTCTATACAATTAGGTTTTTAGGGTACTAACTGGTACACAGCTCCAACACAACACCTCAACAACCTGTTAAAAGCTTTGCTTTGCTGCTCTTGTGGCTCTAAAATCCTCAACAACGAGCCACAACCTTGCAGGACACCACGGAATGGTAAATCTGCTTATCAGGCCACTTTGTAGGATACACAGAACTCATGGTCATAGCCTTGAGCTAGGCTAAAAACCTGCTCCAACATCTACACACCTGCTCTTTTTCTCAAGTTTCACAGTTATTTCCTCAGAAAAAAAAAAGGAGGTAGTTTCCCCTGTAACTGAAATTTTGTATTTTGTTGTGCTGTGTCCAAAACTGGAACTGCAAAAATTAGGGGGATGCTTATGGAAAAGGTTTGTTGTAAAAAAGGGGAGGAAACCTTTCCTTTTAAGATTAATCCAAGCGCCTATTTTCTGTAAAAGTGACAACAGTGTAAGACAGCCAAGCAGTAACTCCTGACCCTCTGGAAAGGAAAACTTGTAAACAGACTTTTTTAAAATGTGCACACCAAGACACAAAGACAAATTATAGAAAAAGGTTCCCATTTATTCAAGGTATGACAAGGATATTTACAGTATTCATCTGCTCAGAATAAGATCCATCCTTATGAGTTTTAAAGCAGCAATTATAAATTACATTTAAAAGGGGAAACATTCCAAGCATGTTTCTGTTTGAGATATTTTTACAAGGACAGAAACACTTTAAGGCTAAGTTGTTTTGACCTTTGCTGCCACCCACATTTATCTTGGCAAAACCGTCTCAAAAACATTACCTTGAGGGATAGACTATGCTAAATTCAACACACAATTCTGTTCCCTCAGATGCTTTCCACAACAGTTGACATGTGACAAAAAATTGACTTTTGATTGAAAACAATGAATTAAGTATAAATGAGATGACCTGCCTACACCCCAGCTTCTCAGAGATGCTGAGATCATCCACAGCCACACATGCACCACCTCCAAAAGACATCATCATCATCATTTATTGTGATGAAGGTACTTCAGCTTACCAAGACAGTTACTGCAGCCAGAGAGCCACAGTCATGTGGTGCAATCCACCTTTTCCATCACATCATTTTTCAAGACAAGCACAAAAACGTTCAGGCAGCTGATTTAAAAGGTGAACACTGTCTGCTTTAGACAGCATTTCCCACAGCACAGCCCAGTGCCCTACCACAGCAAACAGGATGAGTTGGCCAAGCTGCTGGAGTGTTATTCTCTAGTCATTGTAACACACAGCAAAGCTATAGGAGCAGTTAAAATTGGGTTATCTAAAATGGTTTATCTCTTGAGGTAGAGCCAACAAATAGTATTTACTCCTGTCTCTAAACTGTAATGCACATGCCATCAAGCAAATATAGCTATTTATAAAATAAACCCACTGATTTTTCAGTTGTTATTAATTGCAAAATAACAGGTGAGTTTTTTTTTTCCTGGATCATTTTTTGGTGCCTGTTTTAGAAGGAAGCAAATTAAACATTGATAGCAGTAGATTGTGGCTATTTATACAATGAAAAAACCTTCGTTTTATACAAATAAACTTCAGAGCAACTTTCAAAACAGTTGGTATACAAGGATTTTTTAAACTTAAAACTTACATTAGAAAATTCCAATTTAAACTGCATAATATTAAAAAAAAAACCAAACCCAGTCATTAGACCTTTAGGCTACATAGCTACCTTTAATACTACATTGGGTAATTGTTTCAGGATTACATGAAAGGGAAAAGAAAATGCAACACAACAGAAACCCCCCTGCCTGCACAACCACAATTCACTGAACAAGCAGGGTTTGTTAGGTGAGGACACCGGAACTGAGACCATTGCAAGTGCACAACATTTAACATTCCAACAGGAGCAGAAATGTGACCCGTGCATTAGGAGGGGACATTTATCCCAGGTTAGCCAAGAATCCTCAGTAACAACAACAAAGCTGCTGCTGTAACCAGGAGTTGTCTGAAGATAACCAGATAACCCAGCAACAAGTTACAAACACCTGGAGATTGGCACTTGATCTGTAGTCAGCCCCAGCAGTTTTCTCCCCAGAGACTCACGTACACAGAACTTTAAGTTTCCATTTTATTACCATAAAAAATAAAAGTCAATTCGTAGTTCCAGAGTAAACAAAGAAAGCTTAGTTGGAAACAGTTTAAAAACAAAGCTCCAAATTCTGGTAAGTTACATGTCACAGCGTTCACATCAGCACCTCAGCCTAATGCAGTTTCTTGTGAACTAAGCGTATTTCACAGAGTTTTCACGTTAGTGACAAGGGGCTACATTCTCATCAGGATGCACATGGAACATGGCTCAAGGAGAGCAACCTGGAAGGCCTGCAAGTCAGCTTCCAGAGTTCCCCACTGAGCTCTGCATGTTCAGAACCAACATTTAAGACCAAAGTTATTAAAGATTGACCTTTTGCATATTCCGAAACGGAAGGCAAATACAATCGACTAACATTTGTCTTTGAAACATTAAGATAACAATGCTGTATTTCAGCCACATATTTACAAAAATGTTTACAACAGAACTGTGTAGGGTTTCCTTTTTATTGTCATAATACACTTATAGATGAATAGTCATCTTAACCTTCATGCAAAGATGCATCTCTTGTTACACAAGAAGTTTCCTGTTTGATTTTTTGCACTCTGAGGATAGCAAGCAGAGGGTTGGGTACGTTTGGGTCACCCTTAAAAATGTAGGCCTGTTTGCTCTACTGCACCTTCAAAATAAGGAGGTAAAGAACAGGCACCGTTAATTCCACAAGGGTTCATTGCCTCTAGCATGTTTTCCAAAACCAACAGAAATAGTCTTGAACAGTTGTAACAGGGATTATTCCATGACTTTTCCCTCTTCAGTTTACTTCCCGAATTCTGGAGTTACTTTCCTAGAAGCATACTTGCTGAGCTTCTTTTCTAATGTATATTGTTGACTATACATTTTAAATTAAACTGTTATGTAAAGAATGTAACAAGCTTTTTCCTTTGTACACAACTTAATCTTTGTGCTGAGTATTCTTCAAAGGGATTTTATAAATAATACAGTAAAAGTTTAGATCAGTCTTCCACCCTCTTGTCATTATACCATGTTGTTGCTTTCTCCAACTTTATCTACAAGCTGTGGAAAAGGAGACAAAAAGGTTTTAGGTTGATGACATTCATGTGGAGTGAAGCTGCTCTCAAATACTGCTTGCTACTTGCACAGTTAGTATGTGACTGGAAATGAGTCAAGTAGTACTCACCGAGGCCTCATGGTTTAGGTTTGTGAAAACCAAAATTATTGCAATTGTGTTTCTGCATAACATGTTTTTCTCATATAGACATTAACAGTGCAGCATGAAGATGCAACAGAATGAGAAAGGAAATAGAACAATGCAGATAACACTGCCAGCTTAATGATTAAAACAAAACAATACAGTCTCAGCCACACATGCATTAGTAGACCAAGGAAGATATTTCAACTGACCATTACTGTGGATTCTCTTCTGAGCCTACGTAGGCTTTGAATAAAACATTAACAATTATCTTTTAAAAACAAGACTTAACCCCTTTATGATCAAATTAAATATGATTAGGATCAATTGACAGATGAAACATTCAATTGATCATGAATTATGAGGCACAACTTGGCCTAACTGTGAGACTGGAACAGATGATCTGGAACACTCATTTTTAAAAAACAGCCTGTATGCATCTATGTTATTCCCACTATTAATTTTCAGTAGTAGCTATTAAAACTGTTGCTTTCAAAACTAGTATTGAAAATGCTTGTGTTCAAATACATAAATAAATTAGCACAGTAAAAGTAGTTGACTGAAACACCCTAGTTTAGCATCTTTCTGTTAATTGTCTTCAAATCCCCACCCATTTGGTTACAAAAATGGAAAACTCCACTTGAAAAAACACAAATCTTAGTAATAAAAATACGTAGCCTGGTGCAGTGAACCTTAATAAATATATTTGATGAATGACTATGCATGCTGAGAGTTTCTGGGTTCAGCATACGAGCTGCAACATAACATTGAGCTCCACTGTTTGCTTTTAGAGGCCACTTTTCCTAAGTTCACCCAAATTCTGCACCAGGAATGGTGCCCTCCTCGTTGTACAGGCAGGAGAGGCTCAGGGCAGTGGCAGGATTCCCCTATGATTACCCATGGCCAAGAGTGAAGCAGAGGAACCCCAGCATTCCCTGCCACAATGCAGGGCTCTTCCCACTTCCCTGCCCACGAGCAGGGGCAGCTCCTGCCAACACCTCCTTTTGTTTCTTTTATCCCTGGAAGTGTCTCCCTGGGAATGAATGGGATGTGCATGGTGCAAGAACTGTGCAGGAATGCATTTGAAGTCATTGCTCCAAAGTTATGTCTGCTTTATTTCTGATGCATTTCTACAGGTGCTGTATCAGTGGAATGAAAACCAGAACATGCTTTGGTTGTTGCATGAAAACCAAACTTACCGAGCTTATACCAGGTAAATTCAAGAGATAGCCAAGAACTGGAACTCTTCTAATAAAGCCAACCACCACAGGAAAGAACCCCCTTCAGGTAAAACATCAGAAGATTGTATTAGTTTTTGTAATTAGGCTTTTCTCATATTGCTGTAACATGGAAAAAATAGCAGGTAATTTTAAAACCAAGATTACACAAAATCTTGTGACTTCTTAGCAGCACACTTGTTTACCCAATATATCAATACACATTCATCAGAGAAAGGAGAAAACCAGGAAAAAAATGGTGTATTTTTAAATGGATTTAATTTTCCTCATAGCTGGCAACTCTCAGTCAACTCATCAAAAAATAACTCAAGTGAGAATAATTAATTTAGTCAGCAAAACTGATTTCTCAAAATTAGCATACATATTTTGATATAATTTGTCTTTATGTTATAGAAAATACATTCAAGAACAAATGTAGAAACAAGTGAAGTTAGTTGTGAGTAATTAAAACCACATATGATACTCTTTACATAAACTAAAGAAAATGAAGCATGCCAGAGCTGTGTATTCATTTGTTTCCCAAATTTAGGTCAGTGGTTTGAATCGTGACCCCGGGGATGTTGCCTGGCACAGACGCTGTGGTGCAGCCCCTGCACTCTCCACCTAACCTCTGCAGCACAAAACCAAATTTTGTGTGGCAGTAGCTGAGTGTCTGCAGGCAGGTGCTGGCATTCCCAGCAAGCTCCAGCTGAGCATTCCCTGTGTGGAATAAGGATTAAAGTGCAGTGAGGCCTCAGCCACAGTGCAACAGTGAAGTGTCACACGCCATCATCCTCCTCACCACCCTGCTAAGAACTATTTGCTGGGTAATATCCACACCAATAAGGGGGGGTTTGAGTTTGGTTTTTTTTTCCTAACATCAGATCATTTCAGTAGCTCAGTAAATTGTGAGGCAGGGCACACAAACCACTTGTAACAGATTAAAACAGCTGCTGTGTCCAAGAATAAGGACTAGTCAGTACAGCAGGGATAAAATTGTCAGCCCCAACTCTGCAAGGCTGTCATCTGAACAAGGCTCCAAAAGCACCTTAGATTACAACAGCTGTCCCATAACAGCAGGGCAGTTTTCTGCTATGCTACCAAGCAGCAGGATCCTGAGGAACAATACAAAATGGTGCTTGAGGAAAGACTGCATTTGTAACTTCTTCAGAAGGGAACAAGTTGCTGACAAGAGGAGGATGGTTGAACTGACCAAGACTGAAGCAAAACAAAAAGCTTTGCTTGAAGTAGTCACTAGTCAGCCTTGTAGCAAGGGATTTAGATTTTATCAACTAATAAGCCCTGGAAAAGATGGTCACAGAATCATGAAATCAAGGTTGGAAAAGACATTAATATCATTCAGTCCAACTACTGGTCTCCAGGTACTTTAAATTAAAACAGATCAGCTAAACATTCACACCTGGAATTATCCATCCCTTGTTGATTCCCTTCAGGCTAAGGGACAGTCCTGGGGATAACTGTTGATCTTTTATAAACCTCTATAAAACATTGTTTTACCTTGCAAGCACCACTAGGTAATCCAGAACCATACCTGCCTAGACAGACTAACTTATAACTCTCTTGAGATCTTTTAAAAGGAGGGTGTTCTGTTGGAAACACATTCTACTTGCTTTGTGCTGGCTGCTTAAACCAAGCACTACATGCAAGTGACAATGTATTCAGTGAAATACTGAGATTATCACAGCACTTGCAGTGACAGAATTCAGAGTAACACAGAGCAGAACAATAAGAAATACATTAACCCCACTAAATTCATTTTCTGAAATGTCACTGTCTCCAGTAAGAGCCAAGTTCAGATTTGTTTTCAAAAATAAACATTTTATCTGAATTAAACACCAGATTAACCTACAATTTTACTGAGTACAAAAAAAACTCTATGAGAACAATGGTTTCACTTTGATTAACAGGAACAGTGTTATTCAGCCATTCACAGAACACTTCAGGGTCTGAAACTGATCAATAACCATTAGAGAAACAATCTGCATCTGGACAGAAGTCCAAGAACAACCAGAAACCTCCCTTTCTACTTTTATGCATATTTTTTGCTTTGTTCCGTAGGGAAACATAGAACTTCAACCATGGAAATAGAGATAAAAATACAGATATCTATGCAGGTTGTAACAAGTCAAATTCTTTCACTATTACAGTTGCATTTATGAAGAACTTAAATGACACATTGTGAAAGTTATAACATGTTTCAAGATTGCTGTTAAAAAAAATAGAATTTCCATTTTTCCTTATCTCAGTCTAGATACTGCTAATCCAAACAAGCAGTTCTGACTCCAAGGCACAATTGTAATAAAACATGACAGAAAACAGCTTTTCCCTGGGCTGCCATAGTGATGAAATGGTAAGGCTACAAACCTAGGATGGTTGTAACTAAATATTTTGCCCCATTTGTTAAAGAAAAGAACAAACTCCTGACTGGAAAAAGTACTAAGTATCCCTTTTCCATGAGGAGATATTTAAACTTCATACTGCTAACAATTTGGGCTCCCACACATTTTGAAGCTTTGCAATTCTTTGGCTAGACATCAGCATTATCAAAGTCACTTTGGTAAATGCCTCACCAACATTAGCAGATTTGAGTCTTGGAAAAATACTCACCAACTTGTAAATAAACAATTTCCTATAAAATCTGTCCAAAAGGAACATTTAAAGGATGCTGCTTTGTCAACTCTAGCACAGAAACATTACACGAATGCATTTATTCCTAGACAAACAAACACAAAGTTGTTTTCAGACAAGACTTACCTGAACAATAGGAAGAACCCATAGATTTCCAGGATCATTCCTATTAAAGGCCAGCCAATGAGAACTATGAGCACACCACCCAGGAAGAAGCCCGTTGCTTTCATTTTGTGTTTTTGAAAGAAGAATCTGAACGTTCTTTCTAAACCGATAACAAAAGACAAGCCAGCCACAAATAAAACCTAGAAAAGACAAAAACAAACCAAAGAAAGAAACCAACTAATTATGTTCCCAAGTATAGGATGTAAACACTTATATACACATATATATTTTATAAAATGACACTGCTTCTCTTGCACAACTTATTTTAATACCACGAGACAGTTGGTGAGAATGTATTTACTATTGATTTTCTTTTGTAAGGTCCATCTTAAAGCACTTGTAGCTGTCAGCTGCTTGACAGTAAAAGGTCTGTCCTTTGTGGTCTCTGCCAAACTCACTCAAACAGAAAATCTGCTGACAACAGTTGTATCTGCCCTGTCACATCTTCACCACAGGTGGTGCTGAAGCTCGGTCCTGCTGACAGCAAAGGTTCCTAAAAACTAACAGCACACCTAACAGCACCTCAGTTCTGTGCCACTGACACCTTCAACAGCTTCTGCTGATCTACTCACCGTGCAAAGCCAGAGAAGGAAAAAGCTGAACAGTTGTTTTTTACTGTGCAGAGCCTTTTTATTGTTTATTTATTTGTTCCAGTAGCGACTGAGTGCTATCACACCAGTCCCAACTAGTCAGAACTATTTCTGGTGTCCTGTAGCTACGGGCCTTGGAATTATTTCAGCAACATTTTTGCTCAGAAAGCAATAATATCTCTGAGTTTATTCAAGATTGTTTTACTCAAGTTTTGGATGGTATTTAATAAATCACTTTCTTAGAACCTCTTGCCCTTTCTGATATATATATATATATTTTTTTTTTTTAAATAAAAACAATTCTCTGCAATGACACATAGCCTGTCATGGTCTATATATATATATATATATATTTATTTTTTTTTTAATAAAAACAATTCTCTGCAACGACACATAGCCTGTCATGGTCACTTCCTACCTACGTTTTCATTTTCCCTAAACAGGATCTTGTATTTCCACCTTACATTAGGAAAAGAAAAAATAAGCATTATTTAATTTTCAACTCTCCCACTGCACACTTGATCTGATGGTTCATAACAATGCTTCAACTAATGCACCCAAATTCAGATCCACAATTTTATATTTCCCTTCAGGGAATCTCAGTGTTTGAGAATGAAACTGATCTGTTTGGCTGCAGACTTTTAGGCATCAGCAGAAGAGGGGGTGAACCTCTCCCCACCAGGCTGTGCTTTGGCTGGCTGGCACAGCTGAGAACAGCAGAGGCACAGAGACTGGCACATGCAGAAAACACCCTGTCATTTGATATTTGGATTGGGAATTTCGTATACCAGAACCAGGATTTATTTTCTGTGCTGCTCTGAGTGACAACTTTGATTTGGTAAAAGCTGTAGATACCAAATCTCTATTTGATGAAAGAGGTCTGGCTCTTCTAAAGCCAGAAGTGTCAGCAATTCATGCTTCTTTCTTTCCTCCTGCAGCACTGCAAAACTACATTTGCTAGCATGTACTTCAAAGATTCTTATCCAAATAGATACATAAATTGACAGTGATCTCAGAGGATCACAAAAAAATCACATTTGCAGCAGCACAACTGTGGAACAAGCTGCTTCTTGTCTACCAACATCCCACAGGCCTGACCCTCGGTGATATTCACACCAGTGTGAGCTGTTCTAACCTCAAGCAGGAAAAATGATTCACTCCTATCACTGAGCACAACTCCTCCTTTATACCAGATCACCACAGTAATCTGTCATGAAGCTTCAAACTGATAACGTGCTGTTCTAATTTTAGTTTATCTTTAAGAGATCACATACTTAATTCTAAGCAGTGTAGAAAAGTCACTTACATTTCCAATAGCCAAAAGAGCTTTGTCAAAGAAGAGTATCATTCCAAAGAAGAGGAAAAACACTCCAAAGCCTGTTAGTCCCATTCCAATCTCTGAAAAAGAAGCAAATTTAGGCATGTAACAAAACATGGTACAAAGAAAAAGTCATGGGTAAAAACTGGGGAAAAAATGAGAACATCCAATCTAAAGAAATTTTAAATTTAGAAACTTCCTTGAGTGTACAAATATCGTAAAACTCGTAGACAGCAATTACTTCAACAGACAGATCTTTGGAAGCTGTTTATCAACAAAGTCCATGTTTGGAATGAAAGACACTGAAATTGAATGCAACCATATCTATATATATATATATATATATGTACATGCAGCAAAGATATACATCCCTTTGATTAATTGCTGGTATGGAGAAAAGGATAGTCTGTAAAGAGATAATGAAACTTTGTTATCCAGATTAGATCAGTTGGTCAGAACATGGTACAAATAACTCCAGGATCATGGGTTTAATTCCCATGTGAGTCATTCACTGAAGAGTTGGAGAAGGATCATTGAGTGGATCCTAGTGATCCTCCTCTTTTAATTCAGAATACTCTGGGATTTTATGATCTTAATTTGCAGATTTTTTTTAAAATACCTTTTGTACTTCATATATTTGCTTATATTATGAACTGGCCAGTGCTGGATTAACAGCTGGACTCAATGCTCCTAAAGGTCTTTTCCCAGTCTAAACAGTTCTATAAACTTTTAGTTCTACAAAGGATGCTCAAGAAATACTGGGAAGCCAAGAGTAGGATGGAAGGTTTGTATGGGAAACAGGGCTAGAAATGTCAAGCTAGAATTAAAACCACCATTTGACAATAACCTCTGAAGTATCAAAGACTGCTATTAGAAATACATCCTGCTTTTAATTTTAATCTCTAAAGCCTTCCTTTGACTCTCACACAGACAAATGAGAGAGAAAAACCAGGAGCAGCAGCCACAGGGCTGCAAACACATGCATTTATTATTGCTTTCACTGTGACCCGACACAGAAACCTACAGGTTTGTAAATAGGGCTGCAAACACATGCATTTATTATTGTTTTCACTGTCACCAGGCACAGAAACCTACAGGTTTGTAAATAGGGCTGCAAACACACGCATTTATTATTGTTTTCACTGTCACCAGACACAGAAATCGACAGGTTCATAAATTGCAAAACAAAAACAGCTTAGCAAAACCCACCCAAATACTATGCCTGTGTCTATGTGTATTTTGAAGTTCCAAGCCTGTCCTGAAACAAACAAAACCCTCATCCACAATCACAGCCCTTGCTGCTGCTGTTGGCCAGACCTGCCTCCATGTATTTTAATTGCACTTGGTTGATGTAGTTGGTCATTTGCTGCTGCTTGATGAGCTTGGGAGTAAAGGAGGATAATTGTGCCTGTTTCAGGACTTCCAAGCAGTGATTGGAAATAGATTTCAACACAGCTCAGAGATTTGTTACAGCAAATTCCACTCCCCAGACTCCTCCGAGGGCTGGGCTTTCAGCAAGGCTGTTAGAGCTGTAGTTCCATGGTGTAGCCTGCCACTTTAAACTTTTACTGTGAGCATTTTAACACCCCACAATTAAAAGCACCAAGTAACTCAATCCAATCAATTTACTACAGGCACTCTCCTTACTTGTTTACAACGGCAAACAGAATTGCAAATTGTACTTTCAATGGCTCTGCTGACTGAAGGCAATGTAACAATCGCAAGTGCCCTTTTCTCCAGTACTCTTTACTTCAGAAGAACAGAAACAATCTGCATTCTGGAAGGAAAACACTTGGAGGCAGGACTCCAGAGGAACTACCAGCTGCCAGCAAGATAAATATGCAGTCCTGGAAGTGAGTGTTTGCTCCTCCCCAGGCACAGCCCAAGGTGTGGATCTGGCAGGAGGCAGAGCCGCCTCCCAGGAGCTGCTGCAATCCCCTCCCTGACACCTCTGATCACCCCAAACCGGTCTGTGAGCACTGCTGCCACAGTGGGCTCTGATTCACTGCACAAGTCACCCATCTTCCCTGCTCAGTGGAGGGAAAAGGGAAAAAGAAAAAGGAACATTATTCTCATTATCCCAAAATAACTGCTGGAAGAAGATGAATGGTCCAGGACTATTATCCTCCAGGGCTGAGATCTCAGCAGAGGGTGTTCCTGCCTTCATTTGGATCAGAATTTGTAAATATATTTAACTACACTTCTCAGAGGAAGGAAAAGAAAAAGTGCTGGCATTCTGTAGAAAATCTTTTCAACAACAAACGATGAATATTTATAGAGGGAGCAAACTATTTTAAAATGTTTTCTCCTGTGCCAGAAGAGCTTTCCCACATTAGTCAAATACAACATATCAATGCCTAGAAATGCAGGAACACCCACTGGCCAGGTTGTATTTATTCTGGATGATTATGATTTCCTGAGACAAGGGAGCAAATCTTCATCAGTGTTTCTGCAGAAATTCCATAAGCTGTGCAAGACTACTGCAGCACTGTGTCAAAACAGCTCAGTAGATTCTGAAATTCAAAATTAAGACAGATTGCTTGTGAAAGATTAGGGCAGACAATGCACATCCCCAGTCTTTTTTAGTGCATAATATAGTGCAAAATAAAATGGAATTGTGTGCTATAGGCTTTCAGAAGACAAAAAACAAATACAGCTTATATTCAATGCATAACTATGATTTTGCTAACACTGGTTTTTAGTATTGAAAATTTAATTTGGGAAAAGCTAATTATTTTGCAACACCATTCAATGCACTGCTTAAAATGATGTTCTAGACTACAGATGCAGAATGAACTTTCCAAACATCAGCAGTGGTTCTGCAGTGGTTCTCTCCAGGTATTTATCACACTACTCCACCAGTGACCTATGGCCAACTCTGTATTTTTCCAGACAGCAGTGAATTTTAAAATATCTGACAAACTATCTTCAGAATTTCAGAAAATCTGAAAAAAACCCAAACTCTTAAAGCCCCTAAATGCCAGAGTGTTTTATTTAGTACTCCTGTCTCTGACAGTTAAAACCAACAGTCTTAGCACTGGAAATAGCTGATGGTCCCACATAAGGAACTAAGCAAAATAAAAACAGTGAGTCTCCTCCTGAAGAGATTTTTTTTTTTTTTGCCCAATGAATACTCCAGACAGGAAGTTAGGGGCAAAAGCAAAGCCCACAAGGGTTTAATCAATCAGAAACCTAAAAGTTAACTCCAAGGGTTAGTACTCATCTCAAGAAATCATTGACCCTGAATGCTGCTAGATCTGCTGCCTGTCTTCATCCTTGGCCTTATCTGGCTCTCCAATTTCCAGCACCCTGCTATCAAAGTTATTTTAATTTTTTTTCTAGATTTTTCACACCCTCCTTCATAACTGATGCTGTGGTGCTTATCAGGCAGACTCATTTCCTTCTGTGGCAATCATACCAGAAATGCATCATACATGAGATGGCCATTTCAATCAAAGGCTGTCATTGTCCTCTACCCTGCAGCTTAAGCTGTTATCAGGGAATCACCATGGTTAGGGCTGCAAGGATCCTCTGGACACCACCCTGTCCAACCCCTCTGCTAGGAGGGTGACAGAGGAATGTGTGCAGGTGGGCCTGGGATGGCTCCAGAGAGGGAGACTGCATCCCTCCCCGGGCAGCTGTGCCGGGGCTCTGCCATGCAGTGTAAGGAAGGTTCCTCACGCTGAGATTGAACTCCTTGTGCTTCACTTCATGGCCATTGCTAAACTCCTTGTGCTTCACTTTATGTGCTTCACTCCGTGGCCACTGCTCCGCGTTCACCGCTGGGCACCACTGACGGGTCTGGCACCTCCTCCTGGCACCCATCTGAGATGTTTACATGCACTGATGGATCCCTCTCGGTCTTGTCCGGAATAAACAGGCCCAGCTCCCAGCCCCTTCTCCCCAGCGCTGCCCCAGAGCCCTCTCCATTGCCGTGTCCCTGCTGTACCGGGGAGCCAGCAGGGCACACAGCCCCCGGTGTGCGCTCAGTGGGGCGGGATGGCCCTGCCCGGACACCCCCGGCTCGGGACACACCGGGCAACTCCTTCACTTTCACTTCTTTGATCTCTGTTTCCAAGCACTTTGGTAGGAAAAAAAAACTATGATCACACACAAGTATTTTTACTTTTTTCCGCTCCAACGCCTCAGCCTCACTTGAAGCCCCCTGGGCATCACCTGCAGACGCAGCAAAGCTATTCACTATTTATATAATTAAACCTCCCAGAGCACTGTGTCCAGAGGGAGGTACGCGGCAGGAGCGGAGTGTGTTACTTTGTTTATCGCTCAGCTTCCATTCATTCATTCTCTCGCAGCGCTCAAAGTGCCACGGGCACCAGCCCACAAACCTAACAAACCCTAACGAGCCCGGGTCAGGTAAAGGAAGGCGTTTTCTCTGCGAGGCCAGGCAGGCACGGAGCAGCCTGGCTGTCCCTGTGCCAGCTCCGGGCCGGGCGGGCAGCGGCCGGGGCAGCGCAAGGTGTCCCACCACGGCGGGGCCGCAGTGAAAGGATGCTCAGGGTCCCTCCCAGCCCCTCCACAGCAGGCACACCGAGCACCTCTCCGAGGCCCTGCCGTGCCGCTCCGTGCCCTGCTCCCCGCGCTCCCGGGCACGGAGGCCCCGCCGCGGACAAAGGCGGCGGGCCCGGCCAGCCCGGCCGCCGGGCTCGGTGGGAGCGTGAGGGGCGGGAGCGGCAGAAAGGGATAAAAGGGATAGAAGGGATAAAATAGACGGGATACAGGGTGAGGGAGGCGGGAGTGCGGCTGGCACTAGCGCTGGGGGCTGTCGCCTGGGCCCGCCGCACGGGAGGACAGGGCAGCGAGGGATAAAGGGATAAAAGGGATAGAAGGGATAAAATAGACGGGATACAGGGTGAGGGAGGCGGGAGTGCGGCTGGCACTAGCGCTGGGGGCTGTCGCCTGGGCCCGCCGCACGGGAGGACAGGGCAGCGAAGCGCTGCTCCCGCTGTTCCTGGCGGCCTTGGCCCCTTCCTCCATCCATCCATCCATCCATCCATCCTGCAGCCGCCGAGCGGGGCCTTCCCTGCCCGCCCGTCCAGCTGTCCTGCCCCTACCGAGCAGCTGCTTCAGGCCTGGCAAGCGCCGTGCCCGCGGCTGGCGTGAGGGTGAGAGCGCTGGGGGTACTGCACTGTATATATTCACTGTGTTTGTATCCTATTCCCACTGTATGCCCGTAAATATTCCCACACTGGGGTGGGTTGCCCGGGGAGGTGGAGTCGCCACGCCCGGAGGTGATTGAGAGGTGTCTGGGTCAGGCCCTGCGCGATGCGGAAGTGTTTTATTCACACGTCGTTTTTAGTGTGTATTTCCCCCTCTATTTGTAGGATCTGTGTTGTAGTGGAATCAGCTGGTAGTGAGGAATGTTTTCCCCCAGGATTTATTGTAATGCTGAATGTGTTCCCTTTCATTTTCCACTGGACTTTGTTTCCATCCATGTAATATGTATCTCAGAGTGCAATAACAGAAAATATCAATTTCTTGAGTTTGGTGTTATTAAGATACAATGTGACAAAGACTGTTGTTCAAGTAAGGAGCCAGTAAATTCAATTCTATGTTCATTTCACTGATGATTATTCAGAATCAGTCCCCTTCTCTAAAGCAAGCCACGTTTTCATTTCCTCCTAACAGATCCTCTAGGTGTTTTGGTGACTGCCTTTCTAAGGGGCACAATATAATGTGCCCAGACCTTTCTGTAAAATAAGCTTTGAGGAGATTGGAAATGGCAGTGGGCACTTGGTGAGTGACTGGTCTGCCTTAGAGCATTCCTCTTGCAGGAAATGAATGACTTGGTTAAAATTCACCTGGGTTCATTTAGAAGAGCTGTGGCCTTGGGAACTGGATGTGAGTTTGTGTTTATCCATCTTGCAGAAGGGAAAAACCAGTTGTCATCTAGTGGGGCTTCTTTGTGTGAGCAAAGTAAATTAACCAGGACTTAAACTGTTACATTAACAGCTCTGGTAATGAAGACTCTCCTGCAGTAAATTTGTTCTAAGTTGAGAAGGTTTACTTATAAAATTTATTTTAAAATGTATTTATTTCATTTTCTTTTCAGTGACAGTGGCTTGGTTAAATAAGATCTCCTAAAGATAACATTCTTTAATCTCCAGAGATGACAGCTGTAGCAGGTAATCCATAATTAATATTCCATATGTTCATTTAGCTAACAAGACACAATCACCTGATGTCACTGATTGTTGTTTACATGATTTGTATACATAAAAGAGTTTGTGGGATCTATTATACATAAGATTTGAAGAAAAAAAAATCTTTTACTGGATAGCTTTTTATTTCTTAGGTGAAACTAAACCAAAATTCCTTGTTCCTGGAAGTGTTCAAGGCATGGTTGGATGGGGCTCTGAGCACCCTGCTCCAGTGGCAGGGGAATTGGAATGACATGAGCTTTAAGGTCCCTTCCAACCCAAGGAAATTACTTGGTTTTCAATATTTTCAAAAGGTGCTTCATATTTTAAGACACTCTTAACTGTTTTCTGCTGAGTAGCAGTGGGCACATAGCAAGACGCCTGTCACCATTTTGTGCTGTTTGAGATGAAGATATTTTTTCCATATCACACATTTTTGTTCCCATAACCATATTGCCATAACTGCTCTGGATGGGCCAGAATCTCTTGGGTTTTCTGGGTGTGGGGGAGGCAGAAATTCCTCCTGGTGCTTTTGTGACCTGGCTCTGGGATACGTGCTTGGCAAGCAGGTGTATGTGTTAATTATTCTTTTAAATCCAGGGATTGGGTTCTAGGACACAATCTGCAGTTCACACACGCGTGCTTGGCAAGCAGGTGTATGTGTTAATTATTCTTTTAAATCCAGGGACTGGGTCTAGAACACAATCTGCAGTTCACACACTTGCACATTGGGATGGAAAGAGACAATTCCTGCCAGAGTCACTTGTGTAGCCCCAGCTTCTGGGGAGCACTTCCTTCACTTCTTTCACGTGTGAAGGATGGCTTGTGTTTGTAAAAGCATTCTCCCTCTACATCCAAGCCCTGTTGTTCAGCAGCTCCCCTTGTGTGCAGGAGGGACCTTGGTGCATGAAACACAGCTTGGTGCTACTGGCCCTGTTTTCAGCCCCTCAGGAGTTCAACTTGCTGGGGTTAATGTTGCTTCTCACCTGTAAATAAATGCTGTCTATGAACAACTTGATCATTGGCTGGAGTTCAATTAGTACAATTAAAAGTGGCGTCAGCACGTGGCTGTGGTCTCAGTTGTGCCTTCTCCTTGCTCCTCCCTGCAGTGCTGGAGGAGGTGCTGGTGTCCATTGAGAATGAGCTGCAGGCAGTGGAGATGCAGATCCAGAAGCTTGTGGATAAGCAGCAGGAGCTGCTTCAAAAGAAGATGAGAGTGAAGAATCTGATAAAACAGTCCTCAGGAGACTTGGAGGCAGGTGGAAGTAAAGACACTGAAACCTCAGCTGAGGAATGGAACAAAAAAGGTTTGCAGAGCCAAAGTCTAATATTTTAACAGAAATGTGAACTAATCCAGTAGGGGGAAGTGCACTTATACAGAGTTTTGTTTGGATAATGATATTGCCCTAATTAATTTTAGTCAGCTGGCTGACATGCCAGGGTAATGTTTGTACTTGTCTCACTGGACATTGCTAAACACTAATCTTGAGCTGTTCTGGGCAGAATTATCTGTTCTGTCAGAATGGCCTGTTATAACTGCTTCAATTCTTTGCTTGCTGCAAAGTCACAATTTGATCTGATTTGCTCTTACCATCCCAGAGTAAATTTTTATTGCAATACTTGTATATTAAATGCTTATATTGCAATACTTCTCCTTGTTTGTGTTCTAAAACGAATTGCTCTGGATTTTCTCAGGATTTGATAATGACAGTTTTGCACTTAGAGTTGTTTTTTTCCTGGTTTTGTGTTTCCTCTTGCTTGAGTGGGTAGGACATTGGTGGTGTTCGTGATGGGTTATGTAGCCTCACTGTCTTACCAAATTAATGCAGATTAGATAGATGCTGACTGCCAAAAATAACCTAGAATACATTATTATTGTAGAATGAGTGCAAGTGGCAAGTGCCTCGTGGTGGTGGGAGGGCTGCTGTCTTTCAAGTTGGACATTAAATGCAGTCCTGAATAGTTGTTGCTTCTTGGCCATGTTGTGCCTTGCCAAATTTGACTCAGATATTATGATTTTTTTCTCATTTTTAATTTAATTTTCAATTTGTAAATGCCTATATTGCATATATAAGCTTTTTTGGCTTTTTAAAAAATGAAATTAATGTTGTAGTTGAATCCATATTTATCTGTATTTGAGGAGTATTATGCATATGTAAGAATGCTGATACTGTATCATTGCAAGTTATACTAGTGAACAAATCATTTGGTTTGTGTAGGTCTGTGCTTAATTCTCACCCCCTGTGCTTTGGAAATGAATGTCTTTGCAGTCAGATGCTGTGTGTGTATTAAACAGGAGCAGCAGCTACATTTGCTGCCAGTTCAAAGCTCATGGAAGTCAGTGGGAGGCTTTCTTGGTTTCACAGAGCCTTGGATTTTAACTGTGCTCTTTGCAAATTTCTCTGCAATGTCACCTCAAGTCCCAAAATTAATTCTTGTGCATTGCACATGTTGTAACCTGAAGCTCCCACAGCTTTTCTGCATTTTAATTTTAATAGTACCAAAAAGATGCATCAGGAAGCATAACTTAAATTTTTACAGCATTGCATCTTTTAAAATGCAGTCTTTAGGTCTTTATTGAAGAAAAGAAAAACCTATTATAAACATGTTGGGGTGGTGATTTTGGGGAAGATTAAACAACTTATCCCCTCTTTGTTTTAATAAATGCTTATTATTGATGGAATATGTGGAAGAATTGTATCCCTCCTTCTTTATGCTATTTGTAATGGATGCATTTGAGTAACTATTGTAGGGCTCAGTGTCTGGTTTTATTTATTTTCAGGGTGGGATTCTAATTTCTAGTTACTTTGGACTAACGAGCTAACATGCTCATTAGCACTCTGAGGTTTATCTGTTTTCAGTTTTTCACATTAATTCACATCCATGTGCAATGAGAGCTTTGGTCTGGAGGTGAATTGTGTTTACAATTTGAGTTTTCCAAGGTCCACCCTAGAATATGGTGTATCCAGACTCCGGTTGTGTGGAGCTTTTTCTGTGCCATTATGAATCCTGAAACACTTCCCCAGATCTAAAATTGTGTCACTGCTAGATTCAGTTATTCAATATGTAAATTACCCCTCCTTCTTTTATTTTAATTTGCTTATGAAATGTGTTTGTTGAGTTGGTTTTTTTCCCTTAACAGATT